GCTGCTCCTTCTCCTGCTGCTGCACAGCTCGATCCTCAGCTGTACTCTGCTGCTGCACCCGCTGCAGCCGGTCCAACACATCTGCTGCTGCGTTTGTTTTTTTTCGCTGCTCGGGGGCTACGGGTTGCTGCTGCTGCTGCTCCTTCTGCTGCTGCTGCTGCTGCTGCAGATGCTCCGGTAGCAGGTGCTGCAGCAGCAGCTCTAGCTGCTGCTGCTGCTCGTCCTCCTGCTGCAGCTCTGTCTGCACGAAGGCCCCCCGCGACAGCAGCCGCATGGCGCGGCAGAACTCTTTTTTGTTGTGGGGTTGGTGGTTAGAGTCTGCTGCAGCAGAGTTTGTGAATTGCTGCTGCTGCTGCAGCAGCAGTTGCTGCTCTTGCTGCTGCGTATCTATAAGAGCTGTTAGCTGCAGCAGCTGATGCTGCTGCAGCACCCTGTCTATGGTTTCGTGATGCAGCGATAGCTCAACGCGAAGCTTAGAGTTAGGTAGCTGCTGCAGGTGCTGCTGCTGCTGCTGCTCCACCTGCTGCCGCTGCTGCGCATGCATCTTTAATACTACTTCTCTCTGCTGCTGATGTATGTAGCCGAGCTGCTTCAGGTGTAGCTGCTGCTGCTGCTGCAGCAGCGCTCCCGCTTGCTTCCACATTACCTTTGGTGCTTCTCCTTGTCTGAGTGTTTCTTCTAGGTTTTTTAGCTGCAGAGATTGCTGCTGATGCTGCTGCTGCATGCGTAGCCACTGCTGCTNGTTTCTTCTAGGTTTTTTAGCTGCAGAGATTGCTGCTGATGCTGCTGCTGCATGCGTAGCCACTGCTGCTGCTGCTGCTGCTGTCGCTGCCGCTGTAGTGCTTCTGCTTGCTCTCTTTGGTTCTGCTGCCGCAGCAGCCGCTGCTGCTGCAGCTCCCGCTTCACCTGCTGCTGGTGTTCAATTAACAGCTGTCGCCGCTCCTGCTGCAGTCGCCGCTGGTGCTGCTCCTGCTGCTGCAGTTGCTGCTGCTGCTGCTGCTGCTGCTGCTGCTGCACGGTTGCAGGGGACGAGGCGCTCGCCATCGCCCCATTTGGACGCATACTGACGGCCCTTCCTAGCTGCTCCTGCAGTTGCTGCTGCATCACTTTCTGCTGCTGCAGCTGCTGCTGCTGCTGCTGCTGCACTTGCTGCAGCCGTTCGAATGTCTCCTTCATGCTTTTTGCTTGCTGCTGCACCGACAGAGTCTGGGGCGACGACGGTGGCTGCATCGGCAGCAATTGCTGCTGCTGCTGCTGCTGCTGCTGCTGCTGCTGCTGCTGCNCGACGACGGTGGCTGCATCGGCAGCAATTGCTGCTGCTGCTGCTGCTGCTGCTGCTGCTGCTGCTGCTGCGGCTCCTGCGGGACGCCGAGTTGCTGGAAATGCTGCAGTTGCTGCGGCAGCTGCATCAGCTGCATCTGGTGCAGCTGCTGCAGGTGCAGCAGCCGCTGCGCTTGCTGCTGCGGCGCCAGCGGCTCTCGCGGCTGCTGCTGCTGCTGCCGCAGCTGTTCGATCTGCTGCGAAACGTGTGCCTGCAGCGGCAAGCAACCAGGAGGAGAGCTCATCTTCTGCTGCTGCTGCTGCTGTGGCTGCTGCTGCTGCTGCTGCTGCTGCTGTTGCTGCTGCGGCTCAGGGTGTGTCGACTGCCACAGATTGCTGTGGGAGAGCTGGTGCAGCAGCAGCCGCAGCTGTGCCTGCTCGTGCCCCATAGTTTGCTGCTGTTCATGACTGGGGGTTTGCTGCTGCTGCTGCAGCTGCTGCTGCAGCTGCTGCTGCTGCTGTGAGTGGGTCTCCATCAGCTGCTCCTGTTTCAATCGCGCTGGTCGCTGCATCGGCAGCAATTGCTGCTGCTGCAGAGCTTGCTGCCGACGTGCAAGCTGCTGCTGCTGCTGCTGCGGCTGCTGCTGCTGCTGCAACTCCTGCTGGGGCCCACGTGATTGCTGCTGCTCTTCGCCTTGCTGCAGCAGCGGGCTCTGCTGCTGCACTACCTGCAAAAAGTGCCCCGGCTGCTGCTGCGGTAGCTGCAGCTGCCGCCTCCTTGGCATGGGGCTCAACAGCTGCTGTTGCAGCTGTTGCTGCTGCTGCTGCTGCTGCTGCTGCTGCAGCAGCTGCGCAGCAAGCTGGGGCGGGCGCTTTACGTGAGGCAGCAATACCCTTTGCACCGGCACTGGTTGTCCCGGCTGCAGCAGTTGCTGCTGCTGCAGCAGTTGTTGCTGCTGCTGCAACGGCTGCTGCTGCAGCAACGGTCGCTGCTGCTGCTGCAACAGTTGCTGCTGCTGCAACTGTCGCTGTTGCTGCAACGGCTGCTGCAACAGTTGTTGCTGCTGCAAGGGTTGCTGCAGTTGCTGCAACGGTTGCTGCTGCTGCTGCAGCACTAACTGATCCTTAGGCAGCAGCTGCAGGCGGTTCATCGAGGGCTGAGCACTGAGCCTTTGCTGCTGTCGCGCATGCAGTTGCTGCTGCAGTTCTTGCTTCGTCAGCTGCTGCCAGAGCTGCTGTTGAGGCGGTTGACTCTGTAATCTTTGCTGCTGCACTGTTGCTGCTGCTGCCTGCTGCGCCGAAGGTCGCTGTTGCTGCTGCTGCTGCTGCTGCTGCTGCAGCACCTGGGGCAGCTGCTGAACTTTTAGTTGTGGCTGCAGCAGATTCGTAAAGCCCTCTTGCAGCAGTGGCTGCTGAGACTGAAGGCGTTGCTGCTGCTGCTGCTGCTGCTGCTGCTGCTGCTGCTCAAGTTGTTGCTGCAGTGGCATTCGTTGCTGCGGCGGAAAAAACTGCTGTTGCTGCATATGAAGCTGCTGATTGATATTTTGCTGCAACTGTAGCTGCTGCAGCTGCTGCAGCTGCTGCAGCTGCTGCAGCGAGAGCTGCTGGCCCTGTGGCAGCTGCTGCTGCGGTGTATTTCGCTTTGTCTGCTGAATGTGCTGCTGCTGCTCGTGCTGCATGCGCAGCTGCTGCAGCAGCAGCTGCCGGTCAGCTACACTCGAACTCATGAATGCTTTTTCCCCTGCAGTTATGGAGCTGTCGCACGACTGCTGCTGCTGCTGTTGCTGCTGCTGCTGCTGCTGCCGCTGCTGCTGCTGCTGCTGCTGCTGCTGCATGGCGAGCTGCGACTCTGCAGCCCTGCGTGCAGCAAGTAA